ATGTTATTTTATTGAACTGGAATTCTTCATTTCAACGTGGTCACGTCCATCAATTTTTCACCTTGGCGCTTTGATTTTCATCCTCTGAGGCTTCCCATGGCACACGGTACGGAGTCTACGCTTCCACATGGTAAGTCCGTTTCCACAATCTCACCCGCTGAATACACGGCCCTTCTCTGGTGGCCCCTCCGTCAAATGCCAAACGCGCCTTATAACTGATGGCTCGTTCTGGTCTCTCTAGGGTGCCAGTGGGCGATTTCCCTCACCAGTACCATATTTTCCTACTTCTGTGGCTCTCGAATCCTCGGACATTCTCTTTCCTTTTTCGTAACTGACTTTACTGTAAATGGACATTATTCCTTCATGTACATTTTAGATTGATTTTATCAAGTTCCTCGAAAAAAATCCAGCAGAGTAGAAACAGACATTTTTACAAATGGCTTAGCAAGCTGGCAGCTGCGGCCTGCTTATAGGCAGAAAAAACTTTTGATTTAGAGCTCTTTAAAATCAAGTTAACCCCAAATCCTTTAAAAGACTAAAAATGATCAATTTAATTAAAGATATTACAATTTAAAAATCCAGTAGAATTTTATTGGGTTTGCGTTGTACTTATAATTTAGTGGGAATTTATACCTTTAGAATATTAGGTCAAATTATTGCTGAATATGATATAATTCCACTTAATCACTTTTTCTGGTATGTTTTTTTTCATAATAGAGTCTTCCATTGTTCCCCAATAAAGATCTCATGAACACTTTGTTGTTACACCGTAAATACCTTATTGTTTTTATCATTCTTAGGAATAGTATCTTTGTTTTTCTACTTATTTTCTAAGTGGTTGTTACTGATACAGAAAAACACTTGGTTTTTGTAAGCTGACCTTGTACCTAGCAGCTCCGTTCTACTCGGCCTGTTACTTTTAGAGTTTATTGGTTTCTTTTGTTGCGTTTCCCATGTAGCTGACCCCACTGTCTGCAGATAATGCCAGTTCTATCTCTTCTAATATGTACATGCATTTCCTCCCTGGCCAGGAATCCCAGCGTGAGACGCGGCACCGAGAGCAGACATCCTTGTCTTGCTCCCGGTTTCCACTGGAATGTGCCAAAGTTCTTCCTTTGGGGGTGACACCCTCTAAGCTCCACCAGAACTCATCCACTGTGCTTTGAACCTTCCTGTGCGTTTCTGCTCTTCTCCACCTAGCACTGCCTCCACCCTTCCGACTTCCCCAGGCCTTCTCCGTCCTTCAAAGCCCAGCTCAAATCTGGCCTTCCCCGCCAGCTCACAGTGAGCTCCTCCTCAAGCCCCTGAGACAAGACAAGCTCTGTCAGCCAACCGGCAGTCGGTCATGAGCTGCCTTGAGCAACTGCAGCTATCATTTAACGTGTGCCTGTTTACAAATCTACCCGATGAAGCAGTCAGCTCCTTGAGGACAGGGGTGGACCTGTTTAATGAACAGTCGGGGGGTGTGAAGGTGCCATGTTGTATCAGCTCTGGCACATAGGCCTTGGTGTGTTGTGAGTTCAAGGCCAAAAGGCAGAACTGGAGATGGAAGGTTGGAGAACCAGGGCCAGCAAGGCCCAGGGGGTGTCTGTCCTGAGGAGCCGGTGGGTGCCTCTCAGCCTCCGTGCTTTTGCTTACACCACCTCGCTGCGTCTCAGAGAGGCCCCGGGGCCACGACTCTGGACATCTCGGAGGAAGAAACAAGGGTACAGAGATGGGCTGACCCGTCACACAGCCAGTAGGAGTCAGAAGTGAATTTCCATCCACACTCCCTGACTCCCAAATCCTACTACTTCACTGCGTGGCCTCCCACAGAGATACCAATTCTTCAGCCAGGTAGGTGGCAGACAGGCACACCCCGGACGAGGACTGTCCCCTTGGACGCAGCTAGATAAAGACATTAGTGGAGATGTACGTGAAAATATACTGACGAAGGTTCATCACAGAGTTGTTTATCATAAATCCACTAGGAAGGGACAAGAAGAAATGACGAAGTCAGAGCATCCATGGGTCAGAAGCCAGGCAGGCTGGAAGCCATCAGAAAAACACAGAGTCGTGAGTAAGGCCAGGTGATGGTCACAGTTCCAGGGAAGCAGGCAGAATTCAGAGCACCAGAACAACAGGACAACCAGACTTTCCAGCAGCAGGGATGAGCCAGCCTATAGGCCGACTTGGGCGGGTTGGGTGAGGGGCAGCACAAGGCACCGGCCTTGGCAACTGAACCAGCCTGGGGCCGGGCCGGAGCCTTTGTAGCCCGTGGTGAGGACGGGAGCCCATCCAACCAGTTGCTCAGGTGGAAGGAAGCAGCCTGGTGAGCCGCTGCTGTCCCTTTGTCAGCTTCCTGTCTAAGTCTGTTTCCAAGGGGCTCACCTGGTCTGTAATTCTCTTTGTTCTGAGCCGTTTACAAATAGGTGCTTTAATTAAGGCTTTCTGAGGTGACAATGATTGCCTTGTAAAAGCGGCTGGGCTGTTTTGTGCTCACACAGGGATGGCACCTCACGGCCGTGCACACTGTCCCTCTGCAAGGCCCTGCTGGCTATGCATGCCCGCGGCCAGTCCCCCTGTCAGTAAGGAGCGGAGTGGCGGGGGTACCTCCCACCACCAGGCACTCGCCAACCCCTCCCAACAGCCCAACAAGGCCCAGGTTGCCATTCATAGTTCACAGGTAAGGAACCTAGAGAAACATAGTTGTCCCAGGTCCCCAAGCTAGCAAGTGGAAGAGCTGGGCTCCAAATCATGCCTTTTCATCTCCAGGGTTCATGCTTCCATCATCTCTACCAGGAAAGGTTCCCCTTGAAACCAAGCAGGTGGGTGTGTCCACGCAGAGCCCCTGAGTGAAGAGTACCACTGATAATCCAGCTCCCTGGGTTTAGAAGTGAGTGGGGTCAGAGGAAGAGGCACAGTGGCCAGCGCAGTGATAGGGAAATCTTTGTGAAGAATTCACCGACTTGCATCTCTCAGCATTTTACCAAGAAATAAATCACTGGACACGGGTTGAGAACCTTCCAGATGCTAACCAGTTCCAATGTGGATTCAGACAAGAGGAGAGAAAAAGTTGGTTCTTTCTTAAAGTCTGGCAGATGTTTGACCCAGTGAAGGCTCAGCTTGAAAGACCCATCAACTGTGCCTTCCACAGCGGTGCTCCAAACACCCCACCAACCATTCAGCTGGAATCAGCCACCCCAGGCCCCAGGCCTTGTCTCCTTGTGTGTCTCACACCAGAAGCCCCTGGCTCACAGCCCACACCCACAGAGTTCCCACCCCAGAAACAAGAGTCTGTGCAAGTCTACCCATAGGTCCCAAGAGGAGAGCTGGGAGTGTACTTTTTTTAGAATCCATGCACATGTTGCCCGGCTCCCTGACAGATTTTCATGGCACCATCACCTGCCCTCCTAGGAAAAAGGGGTCCTCCCTCACTCTGGGATATAACTGGCCAGTCACCCAGGGAGGGAGTAGGGAGGCCCTGGTGAGGCCCTGGGGCGATGCGTGAAGGGCTATTTTTAGGCCAGACTGGGTCAGCATTTGGTCATGGCTGGTCAGGAAACAGGCCCATCAGAAGCGTCATCCGTAGGTTCAAAGGCGGTCAAGAGACGTGTGCTTGGAAGGGTTTATGGGCTCAGATCCTCGTATTCAGGGAACCTGGCTTGGTCCCACTGTCCACCCATCAAAGCCTGACAGTCCTAGCCCAAATGGATGAAGGGACTAATTAAGGGAATGTGGCTGAGGTGCAGCCACATGAACCCCCACCTCCTCTCACCCAATGGGTCCTGTGAGGGGAGGAAGTGATGCCATTTTAGGACCCTGGTGACCTCCCCCACCCCATCTCCAGCACCTTTCACCCTTCCTGATGAGTGCATACACACCAGTATTCCCTGCTCCACTTCCCTGCTGGGGACCCAAAGACTCTCACACCCCCACATCAGACTCCAACACAGCCTGGGCATCAGGACCTTCCCTCCACCTGTTGTTTCTCCCGCTTCCTTGTTGGCCAAATGTTGGCACCCCGTATGCATGCCACCCTCTCCTACCTCCAAACACCTCAGGTCTCTGGGGGATTCTCAGAACCCAGCAAGCGTCTTTTGCATAGTTGGCACTCGACAAGAATTTACCGAATGAATGAGAGAACGACTTACTACACAGTCTAGTCTCCAAATCGGAGCTGGACTCCTTTCTTGTCTCCTCCCAACCCTATCCCCACCCCACCCCAGTCTTCCTTAAACCCACCTCCAAGAAGCCGTCCCTGATTAAGCCCTGTAGCTCTGGGGCATTCCACACTCCCCCTCCTAGACCTATCCCACCAGCAGCGATGCCCAGATCTCTGAAGAATGTCCCTGGTTTTCTTCTGAACTGTGACTCAGTGTCTCCCAGGTCCTGGTTGGTGCCCATGGCTTCTTTTTTCCTAGTAACACCCAGGTGCAGAGACCATGCTCCCCCCGAAATCTCTACCCAGATCCCCATCCCTGACTGGGCTCTAGATAGGACCAGATTAGGGGAGGCTCATGTTGACACTGAAGAGAGGGATATTCTTTAGAGAGAGAGGGAAGGCAAAGAGCCTAGAACAAGAGGTTGTTGGGACGTAGCCCCTCCTTGGGACAGGCCAGTTGCTCCACCTGAAGCCAGGTCAGAGGGCCAGGGCCCATAGCCCAGCTGTGCCCCTTACAGAAAAGGATTTGGGGGGAGGCTCCACCCCAGGTCACTGCACCCAGCCCCTACATCGGAGCATGGATCCAGCTGATGCTTCCAGGAGCCCCCTCTCTTCTCCACATCCTCACGGGCGGGGAGAGGCCAGGAGGAAGCTTGTAAAGGGCTTTGAAGATGAAACAGGCCTGTGGCTGGGGACTGTTGACACAGCTACACTGAAGAGGCAAGCGAGGTTTGCTCTTAAGAGCCCAGGGTGATGCCAAGCCAATAAAATGCAGCTATTGTCTCTTTGCTGTCCCTTTTAATGCCAGCTGCTCCCGGTGCATAAAAGGGTCTGCCACGGCCCCGGGAGCACAGGCCTTTGGCTCCATTCTCTGCCAGCTTCTCCACTCTTCAGACACCTTCCTATCTCCAGCATGACTTGTGGCTTCAGCTCCATGGGCTGTGGGTTTGGCCCCAGGAACTTCAGCTGCGCCTCGGCCTGCGGGCCCCGGCCAGGGCGCTGCTGCATCACGGCCGCCCCCTACCGCGGCGTCTCCTGCTATCGCGGCCTCACCGGGGGCTTTGGCAGCCAGAGCGTGTGCGGGGGCTTCCGCTCTGGCTCCTGCGGCCGCAGCTTCGGATACCGCTCTGGCGGCGTGTGCGGACCCAGCCCGCCCTGCATCACCACCGTGACTGTCAATGAGAGCCTCCTCACGCCCCTCAACCTGGAGATCGACCCCAATGCGCAGTGCGTGAAGCATGAGGAGAAGGAGCAGATCAAGTGTCTCAACAGCAGGTTCGCTGCCTTCATCGACAAGGTGGGTGTCCTTGATCATACCCTTCCTAAACTCCACCCATGTGCAGGACTCAGGCTGGGCACTGAGGAGGAAGTCAGAGAGGCAGGCTTTCCTAGAGAAGCTCCCAGTTCAAAGGGAAAAGCAGTTATACCTCTAAAACACAGACAAAAAGACAAGCATAGGATCAAGAGATGCCAGTCTAATGCTTGGGACAAACTGAAAACACATGAACTAGAGGCAGAACTTATAGGTCTGAGTGACATCTGGTGAGCAAAGGACCATGCGGGTGTTCGATGTATTTGAAACCAAATAGCCTCTTACACGGCAAGGAGGTGCTCCCTGTGTCCAGGGCAGGGCTAGCGAATTAGATGCTAGAAAACTGTCTACAGGGAACCTTGTGGATCACACGGAGCTGTTTCCAAACAGTAGTTACTTAGCTGCTGAGCAGGGGCCAGAATGATTTGTCCAAGCCATCGTCCCTGGGGCCAGGGACCCAAGGGTTAGGTATACACAGTTCCCACTCTTCCAGGCCCTACGGGGAGGCAGGCAGTATGTGGTCTGGGCAAAGTTGAACCATCTGTGGATGTCAGTGTCCCGCTCAAGTCTGAAGTTGTCTTCACTGAGTCCAGGCAGTGCTGTGAAGGGTGGGGGGAGACGTCTCCAACAAGGAAGCAGTTCTGGAGCCAACCTCGAGAGAAGTCACGCTGCAGAGACACCCACCAGGAAGGACCAAAAAAACCTGAACTCGCCCTGGCCGGTTTGGCTCAGCGGTTGGAGTGTCGGCCTGCGGTACAGAGAGACCCGGGTTCGGTTCCCGCTAAGGGCACGTACCTCGGTTGCAGTTTGTCCCCGGCCCTGGTTGGTCGTGCGGGTGGCAGCCACTCGATGTGTCTCTTCACATCGATGTTTCTCTCTCTCTCTTCCTCTCTCTCCCTCCCGCTCTATCTGAACAAAAAAAAAAAATGGAAAAATGTCCTCGGGTGAGGATAAAAAAAAAACCAAAAAAAAAACCTGAAACTCTTAACAGCATGAGAGACCAAGTAAAACATAAGAAAGGACTTACCAGGAGATTGGCAGTTACTAGATGAAGGGATCTGAATGGGATAGTGGACCAACCTCCTGGCAGGGAGATGGATGTGGAATTGTCCTTGGGCCAATAGTCAACAATTACTATAGTGGGAGACACACCCCCTGCAGGGCAGCAGATGAGTCTGAGTTCTCCCTCTGCCATTGTGAGACCTCAGGCGGGCGTTCACTTCGATCCCTTGTCTGTAAAATGAGGAGGTCGGAGCACACAGCATTCTTGCACTAATATCCCAGGTGACTATCATTCTAATTGCCTTGTTGTTGTAGGGCTTCAGTAATTGGCACATGCTTTGTTTTTCAACTTTTATAGTCTGCCTTCCTTAAAGGGTCGAACTGTTCATTTGCGTGCTGACAGTCACACCTGACCTGGTGCAGTAGCCACTTGCGAGCAGGTGCCTGTCGGGCCGGGGCTCACTGAGCCCTCACAGTGAGGCACTCGCTCTGCGAGGGCTCAGTGCTGGGCCCGGGGACACATTATTAACAAGCGGCAGCAAAGCCTGGACTCAGCATGGTTTAGTTTTCAGGACACTAGGTAAATTGCCTTAAAGAGACTAAAGTTAGCTTATAAGGACTTCCACGTGGTGAGCTGATTAAGCCCTGGTGTGACTTTGAGAGATGACATAACCCCCACCAGGGAGGACTCTGGGTCAGAGAGTCGGGGGCCTGCAGGTCCTGGTGCTGGGACCTCCTCTTGCCCTCTGATCCCGCAAGAAGAGATTCTCAGGTTCTGCCTCTGGGCGGCAGGTGCGCTTCCTGGAGCAGCAGAACAAGCTGCTGGAGACCAAGTGGCAGTTCTACCAGAACCGCAAGTGCTGTGAGAGCAACCTGGAGCCGCTGTTCGAGGGCTACGTGGAGACGCTGCGGCGGGAGGCCGAGTGTGTGGAGGCCGACAGCGGGAGGCTGGCCTCGGAGCTCAACCACGTGCAGGAGGTGCTGGAGGGCTACAAGAAGAAGTGAGTGCAGGAATGGCTGGCTCAGGAAAGGCTTGAAGGAAGCTCCCAGTGCAGGGATGTGTCCAAGTCTCTGGCTGGGTCTCTGCCTGAGGACTGGGAAGAACCTATACTCTGTCTTTCCTCAAGGCACACGGTCCCTTGAGCGGGTCCTCGCCCCCTAGGGGTGGAGTTTTCTCCTTGGCTTCCTAACAGCAACTCAGGGAAATGATGTTCTCCCCCCTTCTCCATCCACCAGACCCTTCTCTTAAGAATACAGAAAAACTAACATTTCTGGTCCCTTTGAGGCTAGCCCTCAAAGCCATGGACATTCTTCTTAAGTTTGCCCCTTCACTTTCTGAGCACTGACCAGGTGGCAGCCAGACACCAGGGTGGGATCTGGAGATTCAGAGCCAACCAGAAGACGTAGTCCCTGTCCTTGTGGATCTTACAGTCTGCTGGGAGGCAGGCGTGGCATGGTCACAGACCGACCTTCAGTTACCACGTGTGGTACATGATATGAAGGGTGCACACCGGGGACTCTGAAGGAATCTGGTTTCGAGGTGTGGCCAGCTTCCTCCAGTAAGGCTCTCGGCTATGGACTCCCCAGTTCACCACACCCCCTGCCTCTAGCTCTGAACTGGCCTGCCCACAGAGCAGGAGGATGTAGCAGGCTTGACTCCTCTTGGCTGAGCCCAGGAAGAGAATGACAGAGAGGGGATCCCAAAGCCAGGGGCAAGAAAGGGTCAGAGGAGTGCTAAATGGAGACCTGGGTGAGAAAAACAGCCACCTCCCATGCCCTAACGCCCCCCCCCCCCCCCACGCACATGCATGCACATGCATGCACATGCACGCACACACAGCTTCCAGCGCCTGCCCTCCACCCCCACAGAGAATCTCAGAGGTGACGTGAGAATGGGTGCTTCAGTTCTGCGGCTCCTCCCAGTAGCCTGGACCAGCAGCCTGATTCCTTCCTTGTGCTGCTCCACTTCTTTGGAGCCAGGGGATAAGCCGGGGGAGCTCTCGGAATGAGGCACATTTGCATGCTGCTTCATGGCCGAGAGACAGCGGCTCAGATGGGGTCCTGTTCTCCTTGCCCACCTCAGGTATGAAGAAGAAGTTGCACTTCGGGCCACAGCAGAGAATGAGTTTGTGGCTCTAAAGAAGGTGAGTACCTGACGCCAAACCCCACCCTGAGTCCCAGCCACCCAATCCTGTCTGCGCTGCCACATGGGCAAGCCCTCTAAGCATCCTGAGAAAAGCAAGCCTCACAGCCCCTTGAACCCCACACAGGACGTGGACTGCGCCTACCTCCGCAAGTCGGACCTGGAGGCCAACGCGGAGGCCCTGACCCAGGAGATCGACTTCCTGCGGCGACTGTACGAGGAGGTGAGGGACTCTCAGCCATGGCGGGCACCCTGACTCCAGCCCAGGCCCTACGGGTCGGCTGATGGGGGAACCCAGCTTGAGGCAGGAGGGTTGAAGGGGAGCAGAAAGAGGGAAGAAAGGAGACAGAGGAATGGAGAACAAAAGGGACAGAAGTAGTAAGGGGCCAAAGAATGTGTCTCTAGGACAGACAGCATGCATCGGGCACCCAAACCAGAGGTCGCATGAAGCACCACGCAGACTCAGCCCCGTGTTCTCCAGCCTAGGTTTTCTCGGGCAGCCCATAGCCTTCCTCCATGTGGCCGGTCCAGGAGAATGAGACCTGGCCCGGCACAGGTCTGGCCCCCGAGGAGTGTCCACAGCATGCTGGCTGGAGCAAAGCTGCCTGAACAATCCCAGAAGGAAGAATTTGACAAGTAGATGCATTTTCTTCTAATAGGGAGTTTTGATCTTGACAAAAATTTATGCAATTTCATCAGAGATCTTTCTCTTCAAACAAGAGAATTTGGCTCCAAACGGGCCATAGAGATGATAGGCATCATGCTCGGCAGGTGAGGAAAAGCTCAGATAACTGGGTTGTTCTTCCTCTTCCCCCACTCCTGCCCTACAGGAGATCCGTGTCCTCCACGCCCACATCTCAGACACCTCCGTCGTCGTCAAGATGGACAACAGCCGGGACCTGAACATGGACTGTGTCATTGCCGAGATCAAGGCTCAGTATGACGACATCGCCAGCCGCAGCCGGGCTGAGGCTGAGTCCTGGTACCGCAGCAAGGTGAGTGCCACAGGACACCTGCCTCTACACTTGGCAGTGGGAGGCATGCCAGGTACATATGAGAAAAGCGTCTTTGTCTGGGGTCCTGATCCTAGGGATGGTAACAGAGGGCAGACAGCTCTCAGGTTGAGGGGGCAGGACAGGGCTGCAAGGACGGTGGCCCAGGCAGAGACTATACAACCTGCCCTGTCGTCCATGGTGTCCTGAGTGGATGGCACGTCACATCCTGAGTCTCTGCTTCCCCCAGTGTGAGGAGATGAAGGCCACAGTGATCCGTCACGGGGAGACCCTGCGCCGCACCAAGGAGGAGATCAACGAGCTGAACCGCATGATCCAGAGGTTGACGGCCGAGGTTGAGAATGCCAAGTGCCAGGTACGGGTCATCTGTGCCCTAGACTACCAGACAGGCTGCAGGCCTAGCCGTGGTTTCCCAGGCCATGTGCGCTCAATCTGGATCCCACCATTCACTCTCAAGCCCATGTGCATGACTAGAGTCATGGGTTGTGGTCACTCAGGGGAACCCAGCTGATGAAGGCAAGATGCCTGTTCCTGGGGTGTTCCCAGCTGGCTGGGAGAGACTAGACACGTCCAGGAAATGGACAGAGACCCAGAGACCGTACCCCACCTTGTTCTCTTCTGGGTCCCCAGAACACGAAGCTGGAGGCCGCAGTGACCCAGGCGGAGCAGCAGGGTGAGACGGCCGTCAGCGATGCCCGCTGCAAGCTGGCTGAGCTGGAGGCTGCCCTGCAGAAGGCCAAGCAGGACATGGCCTGCCTGCTCAAGGAGTACCAGGAGGTGATGAACTCCAAGCTGGGCCTGGACATCGAGATCGCCACCTACAGGCGCCTGCTGGAGGGCGAGGAGCACAGGTGGGGCCCCACCCAGTTGCCCCAAGAATTCCACATGCATAGATCCGCCCACCTGTGCTTCCTCCAAACCTCAGTCTCAGTCCCAAGAACTGGCCCCAAGCTAGGTTCTGGGATCTTTGGATCCTAGATTTCAAAGGACTGGAACTTGGACATGGCAGACAGAGGAAAAACAGAAGCTATTGCCACTGTGATGTCTAGAGTCCCAAACAGCACAAGGTCTTGCTAGCATGAGAACCTTGGTTGGCACCGTGCCTCTCAGTTCTGAACATCCTCTAGTTATTCTATCCTCAACCCTTCCAAGATTCACTCCCTCCTTCGTTTCTAGAAGGTCACCTTGTCCTAAGGTGGAGCTGCTGGTCAAGCTTGACCCTGACCTCATTTTCACAGCCCAAGAGAACCTTCCCCTTCCTAAACCAAACCCATGCACACATGCCAGGTATGTTGTTCAGGCTGTGTGCTGACAAAGGCAGCCAGCGGAGGGGAGAGCGAAAGCCGAAATCCGGCCTGTACTCCGCTTGCCAAATAGTGGGGCCGGCATTGCCGCCGCTGCCGGGAAGGCACTCTCCCAGCTCTGCAAAGGCATAGTAAGGACCAGAGCTGGCCCGTTCCATCGCCTAGGCAAAATCTGAGGGTCTCCTTCTGATCTCACCCTTTCTTACCTTTGTCCCACTCAGGCTGTGTGAAGGCGTTGGATCTGTGAATGTCTGTAAGTATCATGAGGAAAATTTTAGGTGGGACAACACGAATTCCCTGGACACAAATGTGTAGAGATACTGGGTAGAGTGTTTCCAGTAATCCCCTCAGTCATCGGAGAAGGTTGGTCATGGAGCAGGACAGACAAAGGTTAGCTTGCAGGAAGAACCTCACAGCATGAATGGGGTTGGGGTGGGAAAGAAGAGTAAAATGTCACTGCAGGAAGGGATCTTAGATATCATTCAGTATGACACACACACACACACACACACACACACACACACACACACCCTCCATGTAGGTGAGGAAACCCAGAGAGAGGAAGGGGCTTGCCCAACGTCACAAAGTAGAACCAGGGCCAGAAAACTCAAGGCTCCTGGCTCCCAGGAGAAGTTCCTTCCACATCTTCAGAACTAAAACTGAAGGTCTTTTGAGCCCTTCCCTGGCAGGTCACAGGGGCCAAGTGAAAGTGCTGGAGGAAGTGGCCATCAGCCGGACCTCCTGACCCAGTCTTTGTTCCCGCAGGTGTCAGCAGCTCCCGGGGCGGGGTTGTCTGTGGGGACCTCTGCGTGTCTGGCTCCCGACCAGTGATAGGCAATGCCTGCAGCGCCCCCTGCAGTGGGAACCTGGCGGTGAGCACTGGAATGTGCGCGCCCTGCTGCCAACTGAACACCACCTGTGGAGGCGGCTCCTGCGGCCTGGGGAGATGTTAGGCTGCCCCCAGAGAGCCAGAGAAGCCCCTTCTGCCTGCAAGACATGCCACTGCCCCGCCCCCAGCTGAGAACAGCGGTGCCTCGGTGCCTCGGTGGCTTTTCCCCTTGTGTTCTGAGAATACACCACGAGGCTCCTTCCCATTGGCCACTCCTCTGCTCATGTTGCTGCTGCTTGGAATGGACCCTTCTCTTCTGCCAGCTTCTCTGGCCCCTCCCAGGGAAGAGGGCTCTCCTTCTCTGGAAGGAGCTCCACTGGACTGCCTCCCTTGCCTCTCTGGCCCTTGTCCTCCATTTTCCCAATAAACTGGGGGACCCGCTTTCTGTGCTATGATGTCTTGCTTTCTCAGAGTGAGCCCAGGTCCACTGACTGGTGAGCACCCCTGCCCAGCAAGACAATCTGAGGACTGGGGTCTCTCTGGCCTGTCCTCAGTCTGCACACCCACAGAACAACCTGGCCTCAGATAGTGCCCCCCTCCCTGGCCAGGCAGTGCTGACTGTGCTCACAGCACCTTGCCCAAGCCACACCTGTCAGTCCGGGGTGGTTTGACTCTTGAGACCTGTTCCTCTGACTGGTTCTGAAGGGAACCAGAGGAGGCCATGGAATCTTCTGAAGGCGGGGTGTGTGTGTGTGTGTGCGCGCACACCTCCACCAACACCACCCCACATATACACCACAGCAGCAACCTCCAGAAGTGCCAACAGCCACCTCAGAGGGCCACCCTGCATCAGTCTGGACCCCAAACCACCCATTCCCACTGCTGCCCATCAAACAAAGGAGATGAGACCCTTGACACCCACCCCTTGCCCATCCTCCCCACCCCCATACGCTCAGGACAGCCTCCTCAAAACCTCTTGACTGGTAAGAGGAGCTACTTCCCCCCACCATCTACTCACTTTCTTGACTTCCCCACTCACTACCCTCACCCCAGATTCCCCAGAGCGTCAGTCCCAAGGCTGAGATGGCTCCTCTGCCCCTGCATGGCCTGGCCTCTCCTGTCCTCTGCTCAGAGAGAGGCTGGAGCCCCCAGCAGAGGACACTGAGAGGCCCCGACCCCCATTCTGGAAGAACCAGGTCTGGACACCCTCCCCAGCCCCAGCCCCGCTCCTGTCCACTTTCTCTCACAGGCCTGCATCTTTCCTCTGTTTGCTCAGCCCCACCTCAGCCCCTATGCTGACCAACCTTCCTCTAGGCCCTGACTTTTTATCCATGTCACCATGTCCTAGGAGGACCCACCACCTTCCCTCACTCCCTCCTGGAGTCTGGGGCCCTCCTGGCTTCTCCCCCGTTGCCCTCTCTCCCTCCCATGTCCCGAGCCCAGAGTCTCACACTTCCTTGTCCTGCAGGCCAGGCTCTCGGCTCCTCCCAAGCAGTTCTGCTCCTTCGGTTATCACCATGATTAGTGTCGTCCCTGGTTAAACCACCCTACTGTGCTTCAGAGTCCTGATGGCCCTCCTGCTGCCCCCGCCTCAGCTTCAGACCCACTCACCCCAGTTCCTATAGGACATCTCCACTTGGCCGTCCTAGAGACCCTTCCAACTGAACAGACTTCAAGCTGAACTCACTAGTGCCCACCTTCTTCACCCAAGTCTCCTCCTATCTCCCCTGCCAAGACCATCCACATCTAAAACTGTGATCTATGCCTGTGCCCTCACCCTCACGTCTAATTAACCCCCACATGCTTTCTTTTCCTCCCTCCTGAGTATCTCTCTAACCCTCCCTCCCTGCTGCTTCCACCCACGGCCCGCCTTCCGATCTCACACAAAGAGAGCTTTACAAAGCCCACGGCTAACCTTCCAGGAGGTCTCCGTTGGCCTCAGGATGAGGTCCACGCCCTGGATCATAGCACAGCAGTCCTACAGCCCTGGCTGACTGATGGCTCGGTGCCCCTCCTCCCTCCCCATCACCCCACCTGCCTCCCCTGCTCTGGCTCAGGGTGCCCTGAACACCTGTCAAGTGAGTACTTGACCAGAGCCTTTGAATGGGTCTTTTCAGTTCTGACTTTCTTAGGAAATGACTCTGAGCTCCACTCTGGGTTGTAATACTCCCTTCCCAGGGACTTAAGGGGGATGCCGTAAAAACTGCTGGCCTTGGGAGGTCATCCAGATGCCACCTGGGGGAGCTCAGGGAGGTTCCATGCCTCTGGAGTGGTGCACTTTCCTTCCAGCCTACTGGCTCAAGGGACCAGGCAAGACCGATGTCACAGACAGTCCATCTATTAGAGCCCCCTGTCCTGAGGACCTGAGCCCACCTCCTCTGCCACCCCTTCATCGAGGAGAGGTGTGGTTGCAAAGAGGCCTGGGCTTTGGTACTAGGAGGAAAGAGGAAGGACAAGTGGAGGATTATTAACCAGGGGAAGCTGGTTACCCTGGTTACCTCCTGAAGGAAGCAATGTTGAAGCTGAGACCTAAGGGAAGACCGGGAGTTCACTTATTCAGTCAGCAAATGATTACTTAGTGCTTAATATGTACCAAGTACTGTTATACAAACTGGGGCTCACATACGTGAAGAAAATAGTCCAAAAGGCCTGTCCTCCATGAAGCTTATATTTACAGTAAGAAAAGTAAGCATAAATAGGGAGTTAACCAGGAAGAAGCGATGTGTCCTGGACACGGGGAGTGCACATGAAGAGGTGGGGTTGGGAAGGGAGCGTGGAAACGTGCAGGAAGTCTAATAAGCTCCTAAGGCTGGTGAGGAGGATGGGGCCTGCTCACTGGACCCCTCTAGAAGCTTCTCCACTCTTCTCCACTGCCCCCTCCTACCCCAGCCCCAACCCCACCCCATAAAGGCTTTCTTCATCCAGGTCATTTCTCATTCCTACTTCCTCCAGGCACCTGCCCATCATCTCGAAGAAGCAGATGGTATGGGTCAATCAATGAGGCCTTCCATGCCTCAGAGAGAGCCAACTTCCTCCCCTTTGGAATATTCCTGCTGACCGCTAAGGAATATGAGCTCTCTGGACATCAGAGCCTCTGTACTGACAGCTGAGTTAGACCAGCCATGGTGGTGACAGTACCCAGAGTAACAGTCCTTCAGCATCTGCCCTGCACAGCAGCTGAAGTGCTTGCTCCCTTAGTAGACCAGTTGTCACCCCAAAATGTGGATAAACTAAGTGAGGTTCTAAAACAGAAGAGGCCCGACCATATCCTCCAGGTGACCAAACCAGGACAAGAATCTAAGATTCCAGACTTCCAGCCCCCAGTATTTCTCTACCATCCCATTCTGCCTCCTGCTAGTCAGAGCCTAGGAAATCTGTGCTGTTGTGATATCACAGTAACAGTAACAACAATAATAGAAAATTTTGAGTATCAATTACATGCCACACTATACTCTAAGCTTTTGTTTGAATTGTCTCATTTACCCTCCTGTGATAGCTATCTTTAGAAGTGGCCCCATTCTCCCCTCTCTGTCTACACCACTCCTCATTTTCCTCCCCGGGACGCTGGGCGGGCGCTGCGACACTCTGACCAATAGAATGTGGTGGGGTGATATTCTGAGGCTCTTCCTTGGGTGCACTCTCTCAGGCCTCAGGCTAGGGGCTGCTCCTTTATCTGCAGCTCCTGTATTTACAGAATTTACTCTCGGGTTTACAGAATTTACTCCCACAATTATAGAATGGGTAAATGGCTGAACCAGCATGCAAATACAGATTTTTTAAAATTATCAAAACCTTTTACATACATAATCTCACTTAGGGAACCAGAAGGGACCGATGATCCAACCTCCTTCATTCTACAGACATTGGACTGTGTCTAGAGACATTTTTGGTTGTCACAGTTGGGGCCAGGGGAGTACTGCTGGCGTCAGGTGGGTGGAGACCAGGGATACTGCTACATACCCTACACTGCACAGGACGACCCCACCACAAAGGACTATCCAGCCCAAGATGCCAATATGGTCGATGTTGAGAAAGTTTGGTAGAGAAAGTGTGACCACACCCACACCCTGCCTCCCCTCAGCCTTCTCCTGCCTTCCCGAGCCTTGGGTTGCTCCAGCCAGATGGGCCGCACCTACTGCAGTCATTTCACCCGCTGAGAAATGGCTGAGCGGATGGACAGGTCCCGGGGAAATGTTTGGCCGGGAGCCCCTCTGGCATTTTCAAGACTCTGAGCAACCAGGTTTGATAAGCTTCAATAAGTTTATTGGAAACACAGAGTGAAACAAAGGCAAACAGAGTTGCTGGCAGTTGAGTCACTGGCTTTAGAAGCGGCTGCAGGCAGCCCTCACAGTTACAGGAAAGCCACCACAGGGCTCCCCGTCTCCGGCCCACAGGCACAGCACCCTGGCGGGCTCCCGGGCAGGGCAGACGGGGAGCCTGCGGGTCGGCCCTGTTCCTCCAAGCTCGGGTGAAGGGGTCAAGCAGGCCCAAGGAATCCAGCAGAAAACAAGGCGGAAGAAAGGATGAATCCTCAGGAAAACAAATCGACTACTCAGAAAGGCTACAGAACGAGACTAAGGTGCTGGCCCAGCCTCCCCGGGCTCGGGGCACCTGGGGGATAGCACACAGCAGGAGCGGGTAGGAAGGACGTGCAGAGTGCACACAGCTGGTGACTGGTTCTCGGGAGGCCAGGGCTGGCGAGGCCTGGGGCAGCCGAGGGAAGGGCGGTCAGGTTTCCAGGTCCTGGCTGGGCGGTGCCGGTGATGCGTGCGCAGAGGCTGTGGCCTCCTAGCACCTCCTACAGCCCCCGCCGCAGGCGTTGGCTGTGCCCACCCCGTTGCCGCTGCAGGGGGCGCTGCAGGCGTTCGTGGTGACAGCAGGGGCAGTACAGCAGGCGGAAAGATCGCCACAGACGACGCCACCGCGGGAGCTGCTGACGCCTGAATGAGGGGAGAACAGGCCCAGAGGCGCATCAGGCACCGCCGCAGCCCGGCGGCTTTGGGGCAAGCGAAAATACCCCTCCCCAAAGGCCTTGGGACCACCCCAGGGGGAGAAGGGTAAGGGCTTGAGCTACTTACAGACATTCACAGAACCAATGCCCTCACACAGCCTATTGGGAAAAGAAAAAAGAGAGGTCAGTGCCGTGGAAAAACCACCTGGTAGATGCAGCCAA